CCAATGCGGGACTCGATCCAGGGACTCCAGGATCATGACCTGAGCCGAAGGCAGTCGCTTAACCAACTGAGCCACCCAGGTGCCCCTCTACAAATCTATATTTACTGTGTATCTACTAGTTCTGATTGCATTACTTAAATTGAGTTGCAAGTTTAGAGAAATAATTTGGGCTGAAATTGTGTGGCTATAAATACATTAGGTTATCATGAGTGCTATACATAATGGGCCTTTAAGGGAAACTGTGATTTGAGGGAGCAGCTCTAATCTGAGACTGTGGTAAGGATGAGCATGTCTTCTGTGGGTATGGGTATCACAACAGGAGCTTTAGGGAATTTGCCAGAAGACTTCTGACGAAGGTAGAATGTCTGATATTCTTATGTCTCAGGAAAACATAGATTTTAACATCTCACTTCCAGGGGTAACTTTATCACTTTACCCTTATTCTTAATATAAAGCATTGATCTATCCTTGAGTACCTTTATCCACTGACAAAGAAGATCCATAGAAATACGGGTTAATATCAATTCTATTAGTAACTTTTTTTTTTTTAAAGATTTTATTTATTTGAGAGAGAGAAAGTGAGCGAGAGAGAGCACAATCAGGGTGAAAGGCAGAGGGAGAAGCAAACTCCCCGCTGAGCTGGGAGCCCGATGTGGGACTAAATCCCTGGACTCCAGGATCATGACCTGAGCCACAGGCAGACGCTTAACTGACTGAGCCACCCAGGCGCCCTATTAGCAACTTTTTAAATACTTCTGTATTAGAGTAAAATTACTTAAATTTTATTTCTTAAAAGGAAAACAGCTATTATTCAGTAACTGGGTTTTTTTGTTTGTTTACTCTGCATATTTGCCCACTCCTTTCAAAGAAAATTCAACATGTGTGAGTCTTTTAAGATGAAAACAACTTCCTGGGGTACCTGGGGGGCCTAGTCAGTTGAGTGTCCAACTCTTGCTTTTGGGTCAGGTCATGGTCTCAGGGTCGTGAGATCGAGCCCTCTTTTTTTGGGCTCTGTTCTGGGTGCGGAGCCTGCTTTAGACTCTCTCTCCCTCTCCCTGTGCCCCTCCCCCCACCGCCCACTTGCATGCTCTCTCTCACAAAAAAATAAGAATAAATAAATAAATAAAAACAACTTCCTGCATATTGTGACCCATTTTGAGGATCTGGCAACTGAGTCTTCCCACCCTTCAGGCCAGAAGCAGCCCCTGTGAGCAAATGATCAGGAGTAAGGAAGAGGTGGGTATAGTAACCTCAGTGAATACTGGTTCATTAAGGAAAAGTTGGCAGACTCTTCTTGGGAACATTTCTGCTGCAGAGAACAGCCTGGAAAGAGGGCTTGAATCATAAATACTACAACAGTCCAAAAGGAAGGCACCTCATGGGCCAGAAGTCAAAGAAGGCTTTGTGGAAGGAGTGAGTGGTGGGTCTGGTGATTGATGGGTGAGAACATTCGGCTTGGCTGGGAAGAGGAAGAAAATAATGCTGGGCAGAAGGAAACAGAACCAAATACTGAAAAAAGGCAGTGAGTCTGAAATGAGTAAGTTGCATTTACAAATGAGCGAGAGAGGAGTAGAGGCTCCATTGATTAGGCAGAGGGCAACAGGTTTAAAAAGGTAGATGGGGGCCGTATCCTGGAAGGCTTTGGACGGAAGCCTGCCCATTCGGCAGCTGTCATTCTTCATTTCAATCATAGAGCGCTCAGAGGTTTCTTGAATTTGAAAGACAGCGTCTCTGTTTTGTATTCATTATGACAGTTCAAGGATATCACCTGCTCCAAGGATGGGTTTCCCATAGATGCAGTACCAAGAGTCTTGAGAGGACCTCTGCCCTGCAGAGACTTTGATAGATCTCATGGAACAGAAGATGTTGGTGATCAAGAAGAACCGTGACAAAGAGCCAAAGGGGCTGGATGGAAGAGAGAAGTCAGGTATTTGTATATTTGAAGAAGAAAGAGAAAGAAAAAGAGAAAGAGAAGGAGGAGAGGATAAAAAGGGAAAAGAGGGAGGGAGCAAGGGAGGAAGGAAGGAGAACAGAACCAAAAAGAGGAAAAGGAAGCATTGCAACCAAAACTATCGTTAGAAAGACATTTCCCATGAGCACCTCTTAAGAGGCTGTCATTCTAATCACATGCCTGAAAAGTCAAATAAATAGGGAAGATTTCCCAGCTTGCATTGAAAGGACTTACTCTGTGCCTAGCTCGAAGCTCACAATAGTGCGATGTGACCCAGCATGCTTAGAACATCCCTGGCAATGGGCTGGAGAAGAGAGAAGCAGAGAGGAGGCCATCAATTTCCTCCCTATGGTCCAGGAGAAGGCTTGTCATATATTCTGATGCCCAAGAGCTCATTTTGAAGGAAGGAGATCTGCGAGATGGAATGGGGAATCTGGGCTCCCAGTGATAAGAGCTCCAGGAGGGAGACAGAACAGAGGGCATACTGGAAGGATTCACAGGATTGCAACTCCCAGACGGCAGGCACCGCCAAAGACTTGCTGCAGTTGGCCACACAGCCGTACAGCCCACCGACACTCCTGACCGAGCTGTGAGAGGCAGGGTGGCTGCCTCTGAGCAGAACTATTCGGCATTCTCTGAAGCAAAGCAGAGGAGCTTAAACTGTCGACCCTCTGGAAGCTGTGGCTAGAGTCACAAACCAACAGAGGAGGAGGACTACAAGTCACAGGCAAGGGTTTTGTTTGTGTTTGTTTTCAGCTACACATGGGCAACTGTCTGAGAAGCAATAGCATCTTCATACACAGACATCAGTTTTTCAATCTAAAACCTATACTCCTGGAGACTGTTACTTGGAGGTGTTTGCAAGGTGTGATTCCACTTACCAAGACACAGCTTTGGAGCAAGAGCATCTGCGGGGGTGCTTGGGCTCAGGTCATGATCCCGGGGTCCTGGGATCGAGCCCCACATCGGGCTCCCTGCTCAGCGGGGAGTCTGCTTCTCCCTCTTCCTCTGCCGCTCCCCCTGCCTGTGCTCTCCTGCTCTCTCTGTCAAATAAATAAATAAAATCTTAAAAAAAAAAAAAAAAAAGAGCAGCTGAGCCTGGTTTGAGAAGGTGAATTTATGCCAAAGGCCAAAAGAAAGAGCCACCTTTTCTTGTTTTCCTTTTTTTTTTTTTTAAGATTTATTTATTTATCTGAGAGAGAGAGCGGATGTGTACGCACGCAAGCAGGGGGAGGGGCAGATGGGAGAGAATCTCATGCAGACTCGGTGCTGAGCGCAGAGCCTCACGAGGGCCTCAACCTCACAACCCTGAGATCATGCCCTGAGCTGAAGCCAAGAGTCCCAAGCTGAACCATCTGGCCACCCAGGTATGCTCCTTGTTCTCCTTTCAGCTTGCAAAGTTGCTCAGGCAGCTGCCAAGAGCCGTGGGAAGTTTAGGGCCGCCATGTTCTTCCCACATCACCACATTTTAAATTCCTTATATTCTCCAGAACCTTGAGGGGAGAGAAGTGTGTGCGAGGTTGGGTATTGTGGTAAGAACAGTTGAGATACTGTGAAAAAGAGCTTGGTTTAACTACCTTGGAGGAAATAATTTGCTCTTTCCAACCTATGACATACTTGCGAGGCCAAATGAAAACAAAGAAATATCCTGAAATCCCCCATCATTTTATTTGAAGTGTTCAGTAATTGGTTGCTTCCTTGAACTCTTACAGACACTCTCCAGACAG